AATCCTAAGGCAAAAGTAAAAACAAAGTTGGCAAAGGCGTTTGCTTTGAAGCCATCAGGAGGTTGATTATTGTCGAGGCCTACCAATTTCGAGTGGATTCCTATCGGACTGATCATAGGTGAATTGAGCGCTTGATTTGTGTAAAATACTCTGACTCATTTCAACATCCGTTTCGGAGGAATTATCATCAATCCTATTAGAGTCCAATAATGAATCAGTCGAAATGGCCTTCCTGAACAGCAATAGTGTAAACAGAAAACGTTAGGCATGCTATAAGGCTATTGGTATACGTCATCGATTATTTATAAGTGATGAGAATGTATGATAGGAATCGAGTGTAGCAATAAGCCATATACAAGGAGTTTTCTCAATGGTATACACAGAAAAAAGAGAATAACATTTAAAAAAGTGACTTACTCACATCAAGCTCTAGTTTAACTAATCGCGTATCCTGGAAATGGTGAGGATGAGTAAATCGGTCATTTGAGACCACTCTCATTAACTTCAAATCAGACCTCGGGAACAAGCTCGATTCGGAAATATTTCGCGAAGCACCATTAAAACGGGCGATTTTATCTTGCAGAGACACTTCAACTGTATTGTTTATAGAGGAATGACGGGTAAACCCATTTTCAGGAAATTCACAAATAAGATATTTAGAAGGAAGTGAAGAAACAAATTTAGGACTTTCTAAATGATTCCAATCAAGATATTTACTGTCCAATTTAAGTCCCCAATATTCGGCTAAGGAATTCCAAAAAGCAGGAACCCATGCGGAAATGAGCTCCATTTGGCCTAGGGACGCCTGTTCGTCAGCAAGCCCAAGTGGGCCAAGATTAAGGAACGTGTCTATACAACTATCAGAATGAGGATCCGAAATAGGACTCTTAATATCTATCGGAGAGGCCCCAAGTTGAACAAATCGTCGAAAGATGGCCTTTGCAACCAGATTGTACTTTCCATAAGATGAGTTACCGAGACCCAAGACAGCAAACTTAGAAGAGGAAGTCAAAGACGTGCCTATTGGCAAAGATTTACTCATAATTCCATTCCAAAAAATGCGCATATTATCTGGAGGTTCACCATGTCCAGTCGTAGAGCAGATAAAAAGCAGTATGGCACGCTCTTTAGGTAAGCGAGATAAGGGTCTGTAATCATTTGCGGACAAGAGTCGAATAGTAGGGCGAACCAATTCATATTTCTCATTGCTTTCAGCAAACAGTCTTGTCCCTTGGAGTGAAAGCCTCTCTGCTAGACCCTTTGCTTGACCAGTTTGGCTTCCATAAAGTATCAAAAGACTTCTGGCGGCCAGGTGCTGGGAGTCCATGCATTGAACACCCTGTAAATACGGTGTCATCGTGGGTAAAAAATAAGCTTTATCATACAAGCATATACTAA